GCAGCCGTTTGGGATCAAAAGGAGGCTCTTTTGCTGTCGGTGACAGCAGCAGGAATGGACGTGGATTGAGTATTTCCTTGTTGGAGTTTCCCAAGAGTTGCCGGCGTCAGTGGAGCCAACGCCGACCTTTTCCTGCCTGACTGGTCCATGGTACCGTAAGTACCCGGTGTACATATATGCATACTATCATTGCTGAGTTGTTGCACTGAGCTGAAAGACACATGTTGAGGTGTTCAGTGTTTGATTTCCTGGTTTGGTTTGAAGTTAAAAGATCTGTGCTAAAACTCGGAGCGGAGTTTTGAACTGTGAATTGAGTTGTGTTTGGAACTGACTGGACTGACCTAAACCAGGGCGACTTTTACCGAACTGGCACTCAGAATCAAAACACACACATTCACCCACTCCCACTGATTGCTGGTTTATTTCTAAATGCTGAATTGAGTCTGTCTGCTGTTTCCTTGTTGTGCCTGAATTCATTCATTCTCTGGTCACTTACCGAGTTTCATCTGGTTCGACAGTTTGACCATTTTGTTCAAGTTTTCTTATTTGTCAAACTCGACTCTTGACCCGTTATTATTTATCAGTGCAAAACTCGCAATAGTTCTTCCCGATTTCAGAAAAACCACAATCACTTTCAGCCAACAGCTTCAAAACTGAAAAATAAATTCAACGTGTTCTGTGCTTTGGCCAATCATGGGAGGTTACTGCAAGTAGCTGCTCTCCTTCTGTATCTGTTTGGTATTTTCTGTTTTAATAATGTTCTGAGAACGTTTTGTGAAGTTCTAGCAGTGTTTGGAGGAAGGACATTTTTGTTAGTTCCACGAATGTTCATCTTTAGTTCCCTAAAGACATTCTTCTGACACCATTTGCTGAATGTTGAACCAAGGCACATCTAGCAATTAATTCGTTTTTTTGGTCTACGAACTGGGGCGAAGTTCTGCAAAGTTCTAGAGACGTTTTCAGTGTGACGTTTCTATAGTTTCAGGAATGTTTTTCTTAAAGGCCGGATAAAGTTCTGTAATTTTCCAAATGTTGGATGACCTACAGCCTGCTGTGATTGGTTCGACGAAACGGACTCACATGTAGAACTTCAACCAATTTCAGAAGAACCGTGATCATCCAGCAGCTCCTAAACTCACAGTGAACATGTTGGGCCTCGGCTTTGGCCAGAGTGCTGCAAGTCATAGGAGCTCCTTCAAAGCTAGAACGCTAGGAGTTCTAGGAGACGTTTCTGGAAATGTTCTCAGCTGAAACTGTCCTTCAGTTCCCAGAATGTTCTTTTTAAAGGTAGGATAACGTCCCCTCAAGACATTGTTCTCGAAACATTTGCAGAATGTTGCATTGAGACTTGAAGTCACATTGTGGGAATGTTTTGTGGAAGAACGTTCTTCGGTGTGTTCCCTCAACAACATCCTCAGAATACTGCATGAAAAACGTACTACCTTTGTGAATGTCATCGAAGACCTCGATAACATCTTGAAAACATGAACGCTGGTTTGAGAGCGTTCTTCTTTTCATGTAAGCTAATCTGTAAACATCCTCCAAATGTTCCAATTAAAACATCGTGTCCTCGTCAACTTTTAACCTGATCTAAAATAGGAAATATCCCTAAAACATCCTTTGAACACGGGATTGAAACCATTTCTGGGAATCCGAAAATGAAAAAGAACATTTTGTGGAACGACTTCAGAGCCGTTGGAGGTCGCAGCAGCCCCGAAGCCCGGCTCGCAAACAGCATACAACAAGTTTAAAAGATGATCCATAATCTCATTACCTGTTTACTGCATTTCATTCCCGACGCTGTGGTGTTTCCAAATAACCTAATAACGTAATGAAAAAGGTCTGCAGGCTTTTGTTACTTGTTCTCAGGAAACCACACTCGACTTGATGGAAATAATATGCTATTGTGCAAGTTCCCCTGGTTTCTCCTCCTCTGGCTGCTTCTTAGAAAAACTCAGAGTGTGAATTATTGTTCGTCCAGGTCATATATTTCCTCTTTTTTCTGTTTTAATTCCAGTCTGTGGTCCAATTTGCAATGCCACGACTGTCTTAGTAGCTATGTAGAACTTCTCTTTTAAACACATTTAAAAGCAGAAGGAGGACCGTTTTCTTTGTTTAACATGGATAAATGCGCTCCACATTCGCCGAAATGAGTGACAGGGCGTCCAAATCTATTTCTGTCACGCAGCAGGACATGTTTTGAGAGAAAACAGCAGTTCTGTGACTCTGTACGAGCTTCATCCTGCACCGCTAATGAGCCACAACTGAAAGCTATCCTCCACGTCGCTTGTTTCCTCTGCAACTTTCTCACTTTCTCTGCCAATTAATCCTGCAGCTCATCTCTCATTTCCTCGCGTACTTTCTGTCTTTCATACCTTTCCTGTCCTCTGTTATTCCTTCGGCCGCTCTGTCACCTACAGCGGTGAAACAAATGCCCCTTTTCATACCCCCCTCGGGTGATACGAATACCTCATTTCCTGCGGCTTGGCACTGGGGGAACCATAAGCTGGGACAGATGGGAGGCTGATTGGAATAACTGATGCAGACACTGAAAACGGGCTCCAACAAAACATCCTTTGTTTTTTCGAGAACAGGCGAAATATACAATGAAAACTGTCTGGCTGCGCTGACGTATACCGCACAGCCAGTGAAAGGAGAATCTGTTTTCCCGTCAAACACCGAAAACAAAAGGGAAAAAAGTGAGAGAAAACAGGCGCGTTGTTTTTGGTTTTGGTTTAAAATGGAAAACTTTTAAATCGGATTACACCAAACCAAACACCAAGCTGTGTTCTGCTTTACTACACTGGATTTTTAATGTAGATGGAATTTGGGAAAATGTGAAAATGGGCTTGTTATTCTCATTTTTGGTTTGAAACTGAAAAATTATAAAGCTGTATTTTCCACTTTTTACATTTGAGTTTCATTCTTAATTTGTGCTGGGATAAAAGAAAAAAATGGACCAGTTTTCACATTTTTTTGGTGTTGTTGGTTTGAAATGGAAAATCAAAAAAGTGCCTGTTTTCTCATTTTTGGTTTGAAACTGAATAATTAAAAATGGGATTATACCAAATTAAAAGATGAGCTGTGTTTTCTTAGGACGTTGGGAATACAGACGTTTAGCGTCAAAGAATTCCCTTCGTGTAACTTAACAAAAAAACATTTTAATAGGATAATATTTCTGATAACTTGTTCATACCAAATGCATCCTAAATCACATCATGGTGGATGATGACCAATATCACGCTTCCTGAGATTTTTCCGTTGCGTGTCGCACTGACAGGTCGATAACGTCGAGGAGGAACCTTCAGCAGCTCCTCGTTTCTACGGAGATCGCTCAATGTGGCGCCTCGTATTTCTGGTTCCACGTTCTGTCACGAAATGTCTCCCCTAACAAATACAGGGAAGTCAATTGCTCGTGTATTTATGGACACAATGTTGTATTTTTTTAAATTAACTTTTCTCATTGGTGGTTTTGTTGTTTTTACGTTGTTTTTTTTTGTTTGTTTGTTTGTTTAAAACTGAAAAAAGATTTTGATTTCACCAAATCAAAAAATTTACTTTGTTTTCCACTTTTTAGCGACACCAGGAAAACTGAAAAATGCATCCTTTTCTCATTGCTGGTTTAAAACAGAAAACTAAAACTGTGCCATTTTTTTTGTTTTGTTTTTGTTGTTGGTTAAAAAATGAAAAATGAGAATGAGTCTGTTTGCTTGTTGTTTGTTTTTTACATTTTGGTTAAAAACGAAAAAACAAAAAATGGGTTTTCTCATCGGTGGTTTAAAAGACACACATTTTGTTGTTGTTTTTTGGTTTAAAATGGAAAAACAAAGAATGAGTTTATGACAAACCAAAAACTGAGCTGTTGTTACATTTGATTATGAATGTCAGCGGACACTGGAGAAACAGGAAAGTTTGCCCATTTTTTTTGTTGGTTTAAAACAGGAAATGACAAATTGACCCGTTTCTTGCTGTTGTTGTTTTTTTTGTTGTTGTTGTTTTTAGTTTAAAACAAAAAATGGGGTTACACCAAACCAAAACACAAGCAGTGTGTGGAACGTTGTTAGATTTTATTGGGCGTTGATAAAACAACCAAAAGGAACCTATTTTCCTACGATTTTGGTTTAAAACTGAAAAACGAAAAACAAGTTTTCCACTTAGTTCTGTTGGATTTTCAGTGTTCATGGACTTTGGGAAAATGAAAAAATGGGTCATTTTCTCACTGTTGTTTTAAAACGGAAAACAGAAAATGTGCCTGTTTTCCTTTTTTTTTTTTTTGTCTTTGGTATTTAACGGGAAATGGATCCTACTTTAGAACCCAGGCTGGGCTGCAGAACAGACGAGGAGCTGAGGGGGGAGGAAGGCGGCTGCAGCTGCCGAGCGGTGATGTGATCCCTTTAGTTGGCTTCTCTGGATTCTCCTCACATAGACAAATAAACAACACCTTTAAAAACACACTGCTACATACGTTTATATGCACCGCCCCAGTCACACCAGTTTCCTGCGGTCCCCCCGCTGCAGCCCTGAACTACTTTGTCCAGCGTAGCTAATGCACTCCGGGGGGAATTCACATCATGCTTCTCACTCATCAGCCCCTCATGAGATGTATAGAAAGCTGCCCTTTCCTCCCTTTCCCATGAAAATGTCGATTTGCTGTAAGTACACGGGGAGATTTCAGTGTGGCGAGCAGCTTGTTAAGTTCGAACATGTGCTGTTTTTGAGAAAACAATGTGGTAGTATTCAGCAGCATAATTTGGTATAAGGCGAGCTTGGCCTGGGCCCAGAAAGCACAGCAGTTGAAAGATAGCTGCCAGGAAAGCAGAGCGGGGGAAAGCCATTTCAATTCCAAACTTTCTCCAGATACTACAAACTACAAAGAGTTGTTTATGCAAAGTCCAAACTTTGGGCACTTTTCTGTTTCAGCACTTTTCGTGTGAAGGCTGCATGAATACAATCAAACTGCGTTACGCCTGCTGGCCTGTTAGCCGGCGGCAGACCCTCACCCTCTCAGCGTCTCCTGGCCTCGGCGTCGGACCCGCTGCACCTCCCTCTGGTCCGCGGTGCCGGTGAAGCGGCTGGCTTGGTGCGGTCCGGTCCCAGTCCCGGTCCCGGTTTGAGCGCAGGTCACGTGCACCGCCCCGAGGCACACCGCCGCCCAGCCCAGCAGCACCTGAGCCAGCTTCCCTGATCCCATTGGTCGGTCTGGCTAGCCCTCCAACCGAAACGCCCCCCTTGCTTCCCGGTCACTCTCTGACGCTCTGCTCGCCGCTTGGACCCAGACTGAGCGGCGGGATGAAGGCTGGACCCAGACCAAGTCCTGGTGTGCACTCCAGAGTCGGGGCTGGACACGAGGAGAGAGGAGACAAAGGAAACACATGAGTGGAGCTCGTTCAGCTTTTTCAACAGGTGTCGCCGTTCAGCTGCATCGTGTTCCACATGTGTCCATTAGAACTTCTATTATAAACTTAGGACAATTAATTATTGTGTTTCATGCAATAGAACGGTTATTTTGGCTCATGCTAGCAGAAGCTAGCCTCCATGTTTAACCTACTTATTCGATACTTTTAACTATATCAAGTGTTTAATTAAGAATTTAGCTAACGTTAGCTACTTCTACGCACATGCTTTAACGTTAACTACTACAATTTTTTTAACCTTTGAGTTGTTTCCGACAATTTGTCCAACACATTTAACTAAGACAAGATAAACGTTATTGATCCCTCATTGGGAAATTTCCAGTATTATAATTAGCTATCGCAAATGTTTATTTATACATTTAGCTAATGTTAACTACGTCAACTTTCATCACTTTTAGCCGACTAGCTGATGCAACAATTTGATATTTTAGTTGTTTCTACAGTTTGTCCATTACGTTTAGTTAAAGGAGTTGACTGATCTGGTTTTTTTTTCGATTGTTAGTTGTCAAAAAGACAGTATTTGGTTTTGCGGTACAAACCTTTGAGTCAGAATTCAGAAAAACACAAACTCCAACACAAAGCGTCATTGAAACGTCCTCATCGATGTTGTAGTTTCTGATTGGCTGTCACTGGGGACTGTTTAACCAATCAGATGGTTTTGTGGGCGGGACATTGACTGACATCACAGAATGGAGACTACAGATTCAAAAACACCAATTTAGCCAAAGTAGCACATTTTTTAATTGATTTTATTTACAAAGAATCCGCTTTTGAAAACATTGGATCCGATAATCGGTCGACCACTGTTCCGTTTGCTTCAGTATTGAGCTTAAGTTGAAGTATTTATCTGAGTTTTAGCTGCTTTCGTTACTTTTGACCTTAATTATTTCCAGCCAACCAAGAATTTCGACAGTTTTTTGACTTTTTTTTTCTTTAGCAAATCATTTCAGTCGTTTATTCTTTACTTTTATCGAACTGCTTCAACTGTTACAAGCATTATTTTTAACTGACAAACTCTATTTCAGCAGTTTATTCCTTTCATTTAACTAACTGTACTGATTCTTAAGAAAATGGTTTATTACCTTTGGATAAGTTTCAGTTTCTCTCAGTTACACGGAAACCATTTTGCATAACTTCTAGCCAAATGTTTAGTTTGTTTACGGTATTTCAATCTTGTTTGGGCCGTTCCCAGCCTTTATGCCCTACTTTCCGCAAACTTTTTCAGCTTCTCTGCCTGTTTCTCAACTTGTTTACACGCGTTTTCAGTTGGCAACACGTGACGTTGTTTCGAGTGAATAACTTTACCAGTTAATTAGTTAATGAGTTTTCATGTCTTGGAAGCTGCAGAGGCTCCATCTGGGCAACAACACACCCGGGAATCATTGATCCAACAGATCAAATCGATTTAAAGCTAAACCACCCTCGTACAGTTTCCCAAACGTAGGAACATTGCGAACAGGACACCGAGCAGACTCTCCCGTAAAACAGCTTGCAATTTAATTATCCTCTGATTTGATTTTTTTGTTTTTTTTTGTTTGTGACATGCTCGGCGGTTACATTACCAAAAGAGAAAACATATGAGCCGAGGGGTGAATAAAGAAGAGCATGCGAGGAAACAGAAGAGACACTGAAATCCCGACTTCTAGCAAATCTGTTTTCACTATGCTGCACTTCAAAGCGGCCTCATAAGTGGTTTATCACTCAGCAGACACCAAATACTGTATGTAGTGACTGCAGGCTACACAGGGAGAGGAGTTATAAACTGATAAGAGACACGTCCTCGGTGCCAGAAATCCAGAGCTGTCAAGCTGTTGAAGTGACATTAAATGGGCCAATAAAGATTCTAATCATATCGAATTAAAGAAGCTGTTATAAACCAAAGTGTGGCTCAATAATGAGATGCTTTCTTGGCTTCAGCTGCATGTTTAATGCAGACTGGCTGTGCGTTAGGTTAGGTTTTTTTCTGAATTTGTGGCTCCCAAAATAAGGGTCAGGACCCCCACGAAGTCACAACGAAGGGGACAAAAAGCAAATTATACTTATTTTTCTAACTTTTCTCAAGTTTAATCATCGCAAACATCGGAAATTTTAAGCGGGGCACATCACAGCTTTGTTAAAAGATTAAAAATGTTGGGAATCCCTGGTTTAGATCAGCGGTTTGGGACTAGAGGGAGCCAGAGATGCAGACGGCAGAGTGAAGGTAGAAAGCTCAGGAGGCAACAGCTCAGTGAGTGAAGCGCAATCAGCTCGAGACCAATTACTCATCGGCACAAAGACGCACGATTAAATTACTCTCATTATGTGACTTATGGAGCCCAAATCAAATTATATCCGATTTACTCGCATCGTACGTAACCTACACATTCGTACAACCCTGTTCTAACTGCATTAGAGCACATTAACATGAAAAACATCGAGCCAGGAGGTTTATTTTTTCTCCCCTCCACCTCATTACAGCCCACAGGTTTGAAACCGTGGACCCCTGGTGATATGCAGAGCCGACCTCTGCAGCCCAGGGTCCCGAGCACATTACAAATCAGGGCTGGACGAGGAAGGGAAAAGAAATACGGCCCCACATCCCACCGAGTCAGATTCATTTTAATGGAAGATGAGAGACGGATGAGCGGTGAGCTCAGTCAAGAATGCAGAGAAAAAGATGTGGAGAGAGAAAAAACTGGCAAGAAGAGGTGGATATTAACAGCTACTGGTGCCAAAAAGTGCATCATACATTCTATAATTCACCTTTTTCTAAATGCAAAAGAAATGCCTTCAAATCTGGCACATGTGTTGCTCTTTTTTGGCATCTTTTGTTGCTCATTCTTCTTAAAGTCAAAGTTATTTGTGTAAAAAATCCCCTCAAACACGACAAGAAGAAGAAAAAAAGTTGCAATTCTAGCTGCTTGCAGTAACAGGAGAAGAGGATGGAGGCGGGATCAATGCCGAACAAAAGAAATGCATGATCAATTACAGAGTGGGAGCTCTGCTGAGCGCTTCTCCAACTGTGCTGTCAAAATAGAGCAGGTAAAGCATCCGTCCTGCTTTCTCAATCAGCCTAATCATCGAGCCACTGCAGCAGAAAACCTTCATTGTGAGCCCAAACGTGACATGAAAAGAGGGGTTTTATGTGAGATGCAACACCGGAGTTTAAAAAAAAAAAAAAAAAGCCGACTGTAAATTCACGCTTAAAGTGGAAACACACGAATATCTGCAGTTCAAAAGCGTAAAACACACATTCAAGCCATCTGCTGCAGGCTGACACACAGAAACTAATCTGATCTGTTTTTTTTCCACGATGCAGCAGAGACGAGCTGTTCATGTCACCACAACTTTATGAATGGAGGAAAACGCACCATCAGCTCGCCGAAACACAACCGGATGGAAAAAATAGTGTTTTTTTGTAATCTGCTTTGCTCTCCAGGAAAACTTCAACCACACTCAAAGTCCAACTTGGCGACCAATCAAACTGTAAAACGTGACTCGTCTGTTTTTGTTTTAAGTGCAGTTTCCCAGAAAGCCGGTTAAAAAAAAACAGAAAGAAAGAAAGAAAAGAAAAAGTTCAACATCCGCGCGTAATCCGTTCAAATCTCTACTTTTACGCATGTTAATATTGTGATTTTGGACCACATCTACAGAGCAGCCATGCATGAGGGGATAATCTCCGTGAAACAACGGGCTTCTGAAACAATAGCCACTATCAAAAGCCATTGATAACCAAATTGCAGCAGTTGTCAAGAGATCTTACGCACAGTACCTTGCAGCAGTTGGAGCGCCTTGGCGTCGAGCAGACCCGGTCGGGAATTTGAGACAGGATACGTGCCCCTGGATGGAATATTGAACTATAGCCTTGTGAGAAAAAGAGAAAAGTTAGGGAATTGCCCTGTTTGGAAGAGGGGAGGGGACACGGAGCGAGGCAGAGGCAGGAGGAGAGAGGGGGTAGTAACGGACTGCAGGACAAACCCACATTCCTCAAGACTCCTGGAGTTGTTGTAACAGGGGGCCAAGCGGCTCAACCTTCACACTGCGGATAGCATGGCTTCACTATCATCACTCTGCAGAAAGAAGAAAGAAAAAAGAAAACTCCTTCAGGCTCCCCAAGTGATGAGATAAGAGCCCCTCGATGTAAATGCGCTTCATCGGGCTGCAGAAAGTCAGATGAAAATGACAAATCAGTGATAGAGGCTGGCACAGAGATCACAATGGTGCTAATTAAAATAAAAAATAGGAGAAAATAAGGGTATATTAATCCCATAGCAGAAAAAAAATGCAGAGATACAGCAGTAGAAACATAAAGAACATCAAAGAAAGCAGACAATAAATACACATTAGTGCTGCTGATAACATACAGATTCATGCAGAAAAGCTAAATACTGCACAGATTCATCTAAATGTGGAAAATAACAAAATCACAAAGGAATAATCTATATGTAGAACACAAAATATTCACAGTTTTAAATGCATTAATGCTGAAACATGGCAGTTTTCCATGTCTGTGTTTATATATATTGTGGTTAAATAACATATTTTAGGGTTATTTAGCAACAGAAAAGTGTAAAATCTGACTTTGCAAACTCATTTGGTGCATGATTAGAATTAAAAATAAATCACACAACAGTTAGTTTTGCAGCAAACATTATAGTTTTAAAAAAGAACCGTAGAGATAATTCATACATTGATATTTTACAGATTCTTCTATATGTAGAAAGTGAAGAAATTGCAGAAAAACGCTAAAAATTTCACAGATTCTTCATTATGTGGAAGTGTTATCATTATAAAGTGTTCTAAATGTCTAAAATCTGAATAATGCACCACTTTGAATGCATTGTTGTTGCACCAG